AGCGCCGGGAACCTCCTCTCTGGGAGGATCAAGCATGCAGACGAGGCCGAGGAAAGTCATGTTCTGTTCAAGCTGAGCATATTGTTCGGTAGAAGAAGCAGTGTGCAGAAGAGGGTTCTCGGCCACCTTGTCGATGCTGGCGAGAGCAATGACTCGAAGGCCGTTGTTGGCATATCGTACAATCTCGCTCATGAGGCGGTCCGCAATCTTCTTGGTGAGCGCAACCTTCTTGCCGTTGGAGCCAACGAGAGTTTGCGTGCAACGATCGATAACGGATTCGGGAGCGCCCTTGACCAAGAGTTTCTTATCATTACCCTTACCAACCAAGACAGACATGCTCTTGCGATCGCGGGAGAACTCGTACGTAGCCAGACGAGGTAGTTCCTTCTGGTAGGCTGCGCTGGCATAATGAACACAATCTTCAGGGCGGGTATCGGTAGGAGCACAAGGTCCAATCTTCTCAACCAAGACTCGAAGAGCACCCTCAGTTGGTTCACCAATGCTGGAGAAAGTGGCAGATCGAGAATCATAGGCAAGCTGGGCGTCATTGCAAATGGCAGCTACCTGTGTCATTTGGCGGATAGTAGCAGAAGAGTTGGGGAGGTCCTGAACGACAACACCGTTTGACTTGATGGCTCCGCGGGGTGCGAAGGTGGTGCCTTCAACATCGAGTTCGTCTAGACCACTGCCGTCTTCGTTGAGATGCAAAACCTTGCTAACGCTCATCTGGTTGGTGGTCAGAGTACCGGTCTTGTCAGAGCAGATGACGCTGCAGCTGCCAAGGGTCTCAACAGAAGGGAGGCTTCGGACGACAGCGTTCTTAGCAGCCATCTTTCTCGTTCCAAGAGCCAAGCAGGTAGTGATAACAACGGCCAGACCCTCAGGAATCGCTGCAACACCAAGGGAGACGGCAATCTTGAGGTAGTAAATAGCGCCCTTGGTCCAGTTGCCGTGGCTAGGATCATTGAAGTTGGGAATGTTGATGAGCCAAACCAGGATGCAAATGACAGTGATAACCTTGGCTAGACTGTCGCCGAAGTCGTTGAGCTTCTGCTTCAGGGGCGTGGGTTCCGAGATCTGGGCAGTAATGCTTTCGTGGATATCTCCGATAGCGGTGTTAGGGCCCGTGAGAACAACAATTGCTCGAGCGCGACCAGTTACAACAGTTGTTCCAGAGAACAACATGTTGGTCTGGTCCTGTAGAACGGCTTTGTCGTCTTCGATGACGGTAGAGGCGCGTTTGCCGACGCTCTCGCTCTCTCCAGTGAGAACTGCCTGGTCGACAGAGAAACTGTTGCTTTCGATAGAGACAACTCGACAATCGGCAGGAATGCGATCACCAATGGAGACTGTGACGATGTCGCCAGGGACTAGCTCTTCGGCCTTGACTCGTGAAACATGACCACCATTTCGCACCACATTTGCTTCGTTTGCTGAGTATTCCTGTAAAGCGGCGATGGCCTTCTCGGCGCTGCTTTCCTGGGAGACTCCGACGACACCGTTGAGAAGCAGAATGGTGAGAATCTATGGGAGACATGTCAATGGTTTGCTCAGCAAGAAACAGACAGTATTGAAGAGCGAATTTGTACTTACAACAACTGGGTCGACGAAAGCACTCCAGCCTTCTTCGTCGTCGAAAAGTGCCAGAACGAATGAGACAGCGGCGGAGCCAAGAAGGATAAGAACTAGCTGGTCCTTGAATTGCTCTAGGATAAGCTCCCACAGAGGAGTAGGAGGCTCCTCAGGAATAGCTACCAAAAGTTAGACAGTTCAAGAACGTAGTGGGGTTACGGCGAGTATCTGACGTACAGTTGCGCCCATGTTTGTTGCGTAGCTCGGTGACCTGGGAGTCACTCAAGCCTGTAGCCTCGTTGACGTTGAAGTTGGCGAGGACATCGCCAACTGGTTTCGCGAACGCGCTCTCCATGGTGAAGGCGATGCGCAACGCGAGCGCTCGGAACGAAGCTGAGTCAAGTTTGTATACCGAGAAGTTGACAGCGAGACGATTTGCGAAAGAGGGAAAGGGTCTCGTTAACCTTGAGGCAAGGAATAGAGGGTAATGCAGACGTCAAAAAGAAAATGACAACCCGTGTACTAGAACCTGGAAGAAAAAGAAAGTGTAGGAGAGAAAGATAAAAGACACGGAGGCAATAAACTATAGTAATCGCCGGTTTCCAATCCTGTCATGGAACAGTTTACAGTAAGGTAGATTTGTCAAGACTAGAGAGGCAAGGCGATGAAAGGGCCCACGCACGTGGCAACCTCCAACCTTGTAGTATAGATTTTATTCTGACTAATGGTGGAGTCTGCTGTGAAACCTGCTTCATCGGACTAAGAGATAACTACTAAAACTAGACAGAATCTGAGTCGCGAGACTGTCAACTTTTCCGCTTCCGTCTTGCGTTGGAAATTCTCAAGTCAAGGCGCTTCTCTGTGCTCAAAAAGCTCAACGTGTTCGTTTCCGTCTCGGGCAGTCGGCATGTCTCTCCTGTCTTCTAGCGTGACAGTAGCGCAACCCCACAATCTGGGAGGACCACTGTAAAACCTCCTGAAAACCAGGCACCAGTCCCCTGAAAACCGATTCAAGACTGTTCTTCCGCCGAGAAACCCCAACCTTAGTTGGGTCTAGCTCTCCGAGCACCGCCACGATGCCGAGCCAGTTAGCTTACACCTTGCATCACGACAAGATACCAGTTGAGTCTTTACTTGCCGAGCATATATGCCAAGTTGTCGATTGCCGAATAAGCCGCTCTCACCAATTGAAGTTGAAGGTGGTTATGGGTAAGTCAGAGGGTCGGTGGAGACTGACTACATATCTATCCACGAAGATATGCGATACTCGTAAGCTTCTCAGGCCAAAGCCATTCCATCCCAGCCCAGTATCGCCGACTGACTCGGGATGGGGCTTGGCTGAGAAAAGTTGGTGGTCATGAAAGCCTCTACTATACTATACGTGGGGGAACAAGACATCATGCTCGAGTCTGCAAAGTAAGGTAGACAACTTCTGTCAAGCGTGATACTCTCAGGATACTTTCTTTTCACATAAAACATACATAAGGATTGCTTAGATAGGTACCTAAACCCTATGTAACAGCATTTATGCCGTGACCAGTTTATTCTCCAGATATACGGAGTAGATGTCTGATATAGAATACCATTGTCATCTAATATGCTTGTTCTTGCATATTACATGTTATTTCCGCCCAAGTATCGGCCCCTCGGGAAGCAAGAAAACGTTAGACCTTGATATACCTTAGATACCTAAGTAGGTAGGGTCTTAAATAAACTCAGCAAAAGATAGGTATCCTGCCTACGTCTCGTCGCCTAAGCTTTTTGTCATTTAGGATTAGGTCCCGAATTTTCTTTCCTCTCCTTGCTGCCTCAATCATGATGTCAGACACGGTGCATTATGGCACGCTTCTCCACCTCAGACTATCAGGCTCATTAGAATACATTGAAAGGAAATCATTCACTTCGGCTGTTACGTGGATACCGCAATACGTTATTGGGTTATGATCCATGTCACGAACAACTCGAATTCATAAATCATAAACACAATACAACACACATCATCTGCTGTTTAGGAACATCAATAAAAAATTGCAAGTAATCCCAAGACTACCACATATCTTATACTGACCTTGTGGTAAGAAATTAAGCTCTTCAAACTTCACAATACTATCATGCACTGTCCATCAAGCCACGAACAAGATGATCACACAGCTCAGATTCGTTCAGCCTCCCCAACCTCTTATATATGAACAAGCCGCTGATCTCTGAGACTCTCGCCGCCACATCAAAAGAACCATGAGATTCTAAGACTGCTGCCTCGGCCTTGACCGTCAATATTGCGAGTTTGCAGCCAGCCTACAACTCAAGATATCTCGTGGCCGCAAGTAACGAGGTTGGCTTGAAACAACGTGGGAACCTTTTGGCCTATCATTTAGTCAAAACATATTCTGATCTTGAGGCTTGTGTCGCTTGACCTTTTGGTCTCGCTGCATCACAACTCCTGGACTTGGGCATCAATATTCCCGTCTTCGGTGCTTCCAGCTTCGCCCTGCACCAATGCCCATGCAGACGCCTCTTTGTGTCACCACTTCTCAGCCGTGATACTCTGGCTCATTGTCACCGGCTGTACGATTCCACAGCCTAGGATCATGGGTGTTGAATCTCAGTCGAGCCAAGGTGGCCAGACAAGACTGCCTGACTGGCTGGGTAGGATCTTCTTTTTCTCTGTTCGGACGCAATTCTCGGTGAATTCTACCTGCAGGATTGCTCATCACTATTGCATGACTTCTTCTAATACGCCATCCAGGAAGGAATGTCCCGAGATTCTGTATCTCTCGGTCCGCACCTTCCTGCCTGTGCCTTGGATAGTAAGGTAGGTACTAAGTAAGTAATATAAGGTAGGTCTACCTGATACCGAGGTAAAGTAAGTTAAGGTAGGCACGCCCATAGATTGTGACCTCCTGCAAGTTTCCCAGCCTTTCCCTCTGTGAGTTCTGGTGCCGTGAACTCCAGTTTGATGTTTGGTCTATCCCTTTCATGACATCTTTCTCATCATTCATCATCACAGCCATGTTTGGACAGCACGTCTGAAGCCGCTTTTTTGGTGTAGTTGGGCTTTCTTGGAACCAGCACTTTGTTAATTTCTTGGACTTTACCTCGTCGCTCTCTTTTCATCATGGCTCTCGTGAACCCTTCAGCCTTGCCCGATGTTTCTCGTAGCATCCCTAGTTCAAGGCATTTCGGTTGGACAGCCGGCTTTCCGTATATATCACGATTTGATTCTCACGACAGCCTCCGCAGATTATATGACATTCATTTGCCATCGAGATTGGATGAACTTGGCCTTGACGATATCAATACAACCTTGAATTGCACCACCCAGCAAGCGAGTTCTGAAAGAGCAACTACCACACGCGCGAGACCTTCTTGTCCGCAGATACAAGTCGAAACTATTCAAGAGGTCCCATGTAACGAATATTGCCGTGAGAATGTCAAGCTTCGGAGGCCCTTCTCTAGGTGGATGAAATCATTGCATCGCCGAGTGAGTCAAAGAGACCACGGAAATGTTTGGTCCCCAGATACTGGGTGGGAAAATATCGAGTGCAGTGGAACTTATCAGCGATCAATTCGCCGCAGACTCAGTCGCCGGCTCTCGTCTTCTGGATCTTCGCTGGGTTTCATCGAAGCAGTCCAAAGTGCTAGTATCAGCATTGCTAGTGCCAGTGCCATCTCGCGCTCGCACCGGCATCATCGCCTTTCACATTGCCGGTCGCGGACTGAGCGAAGCAGTCGAGCTTCTCTGTCTGCCCCAAGGTTTTCCGAGGACAGTATTCCATTCGAAAAGGTCAGCATTGATGTTGCTGCCGTCCAGCGTTCTCTTCGGCGCCGGCAGATCATCGAGGAGCTCATCAATACGGAGGAGAGTTATATCGGTGACATTCGTTTCCTTATTCATGTGAGCTCAGCCCAGCACTACTCTTAGGCCAACTGACAGCAAATAGACCTACATCAACCTGCTCGCTGCTCTCCCAACTTTACCTGAGCGGCTACGCTCGTCCATCAACCATAATCTCGATCAAATCCTTCAGCTCCATGAAGAAATACTCGGCGAACTACATAGGGTAGTTCCGGATTCTGAGTACAGCCAAGCTGATCATCTTATCGTATCCTCCTCGAAATCAAATAACCCCAAAACTGGACATCGCCGATGGTCAAGTTTAGATATGGTCTCAGGAGAACAAGGCAGCCTCCAGTTGCTAGAAAAGGAGCCTGGCGTGTTGTCTGAGCCTCAAGTAGCAGCAGATGCGGCTAAGATTTTCAGTAAGAGGGTGAGTTACCGTCTTGCAGTTCAATCCCTGAGACTTGCTGACATGTTACATCCAGATGCATCGGTTCTTCATGTATCAAGAATATGGTGCGAAGTATGAGATGATGATCAAAGACGCCACTTCAGCTCTAGAAAATCTCCCCGAATGGGAGTTACATCAGAAAGGGCTTGAGGCTTTCGCGTTCACCATGGAGCCATCACCATCGTCCGATAGCAGAAAGGCTCTAACCATAGGTGATCTTCTTGTTAAGGTATACTCCTCTATTCATATCTACTTCACTGTCTGACATTTCCGCGTCAGCCTATTCAAAGAATTTGCAAATACCCCCTTTTGTTTGCAGAGCTCTTAAGGTGCACCCCAGTCATCGACTGTCCAAACTCTCACATGGAAGTTGAAACTACACTAATGAGGCTCCGGGAGGCCACAGCCGAGATCAACCGCTCAACTGAGGATATTCTGATGAAAGGCATCCTTGAAAAGACCTGGCTATTACAGGATCGTATCGTGTTTCCAAACAGGGTATTCTTCACGTGTATTCCCTTATTGAATCTTTGCTAACTATGTACGAGAGACTCGATGCGCATTCGAAAAATCAGGTTCGTTCGTTTGGCCACATTCAGTTGTGTGGAGTCTTGCATGTATGCTGGCAGTCGCCGGCGGGCGTTGACGGTCAATATATGATCTGCTTGCTCTACAAAGATGTCCTCTGTCTGGCATCTGGGGGAAAGTTTGATCCTATCTACACGATTCTGGCCTGTATCGATGTTCATTGTTCAGCTGTTGAAGATGCTGACAATGGGCGCGGTAAGGCATGTCATATATAACCGAGACTTGAACTAACATATCTTGTAGGCTTGCAATGCCACCTAGCTCCCTTCTCTTGGAAGCTTGTTTTCGAGAGCGATCATCAGCTTTACGAGGTGGTAATGACGGCTTGTACGTCGAGGGAGGAGAACGTATGGCGAACCCGATTACAGCAACCACTGTGTCTAGAGCCAGTTAGTAGATCTCCTGGTCTTCAAATATTTCTCTCCCTTGACATTGAAAGTCTGGGCACTGTGTTTGGACGACCTGGTATGCTTACACTTCCCAAATGATGAAAAGGCTAGATCATACTGAACATCAGTAGGAAGTATCGCGAGGAGTCTGTCGACGCACCAGGCATCTGTGGGAGTCTACGAGTCGTCCCTGTGCCATGTCATTCTCAAGAATACAAGTACCATGAAATCTAGTAGTGGTATCAACTCTGGATCCGGCCTCCATCGTTCACAGTCTTTGTTGTCAACAAAAGTTAGAACGCCAGTTCTGGTACCATCTCGAAGTGAAAGAGCGCGGCTGGAGGTACTTCTCTCAGACGTCTGGAGCCAAGATGTTCTTCCCCTTCCTAGCATGACGAACATTGCGCGGAATGAGCAGATGATCAGGCGGTCAGCATCAACCGTGATGAGAAAGTTGAGTGTATCCAGCATGACGAAGAGGTCAGGAAGCTTGTCACGCAGAATGATCGAGGACCCATCGAGTGAAGACCAGACCCGTCAGGCGAGTTTTTCAAGCGATAGTGGCTTTGACATCTTTGACAAGGCTGGTCGTGAGGAGAGCTCACACTCCTATACAAGTAAAGGGTCAGCGCTCCCAGAGACTCGAGAGCTAAGTGAGGAGGATGATCATGTATCGGACATGTCTCCGAGGCTGGAGCTCACTCAGATATCTGAACTCGAACCTCTCAATTTGATTGAGATTATTTCAGACAAGCAGCTGCAAAGTGAGGCAGAAAATACATCAGCTCTACAAGACTGTATGACAAACAGACTCCAAAACAATTCCCCACAAAATGATTCCAGAATCGCAACGCACTCTGTTGCGAAGGAGACCCTGTCTCGCTTGGCCGGTGCTACCGCCGTGAGCACAGATATTCCATGGGTGAAGGAGAAAGGCTCGAAAAACGAAAAGAAGTGCACAGGCATTCGCAGATTCTTTCGATAAGAAACTGTTATGAGGGCACTAGCTGGCTATAACGCTTTATACATCTCTAGTAGAGCTGTGCTATATCATCAGTTCAAAGATGATGGGAAACTACATACTAGATAGGTAGGCATTGGGTTTTATTATTAGCATCACTAAGGTCCTTGATATGGTAGTCTCAGGTGCCGATGTCCTACTAGTCGATCGTTACGTTACTTTGAAAAGCTTAGTTATGTAGTCTAACTCGGTGGTTTCTGAATAGCGCTTTAAGGCCAGGGATTCTGGCCTAACATTAATTGTTTGATTTCAGCCCATCAGTTTCCTCGAGTTTGATGGGATGTCACCATCATGGACAATACACATATCATGAAGTTGCATCCTCGGCATCATGCACCAAGCAAATGCCCCCCTAAGGAGAAACAGGCCAAGGCATCATTCACAGGATAAAAAGCATTATGGTTTGCCAAGACAATGAGAAAGTAGATGATTCGATATTGATGTGGAAGACGGGAGAACAGCATGGCATCCGCTGCAGCTTGACCAATCCCTTACAAAGAAATCATTGCAGACTGGCGTGAGGAGCACGCGACCGATTAACATGCCAGCCCATAAGGTAGCTAGGGTAGGTACTATTTAGGGTACTAATATTTTGCTTCCTCGTGCTCAAAATACGGTGACGTACGCGGTGGATTCGAGCATGCAGGAACGTGTAGTTACAGGAGGTAGAAGCATGGAAGACGAGCAACTTCAAGCCTGGCAAGCAAACGGAGATCTGCTGCTTCATTGGCTGCGTTGATGCTCATGGCAAGCTATAGTGGGGCCTGATCCGCCTGAGAGCCTTGAGAGCCCCGCGATGCAGTACGTACCAAACCCACTTGCCCCCCTTGGGAGAGCATACCTAGCTATGACGTATGACGTAGGGAGCTTCCAGCCAACAAGCTAGGCACATTCGTCACTGCTCCTCACAATGAGCTTCCTTTTAAGCCTCTGGATGCACCACTCTTCCTCGTCTCCTTTTCTTTTCTTCTCCTCATCTTCATCTCCATCCTTCGATCAACAGTCACCAACAATTCCACCCAGCGACTTCCCAATAATCGTTTGACGACTCTTCATCACCAATACAACCACTACCACTTCCCTTACTCAATACACAATCACAATGGCTCGCGGCGAGACTCAGCAGACTAAGGTCCACTACAAGGGCAGCGACGACTTCATCATCTTCATTGATGATGTTGAGACGTACCAGAAGTGGAAGAGCGACAAGAGCATTCCTCTTGCTCACTTCATTTCTTCCTTCAAGATCTTCCTGACACACAAGTAAGTCAAGCCACCCCCGCTTTGTCTCTCCTCACTTCCCTTCAATCTCGTGGTTGGCATGGAAATGGAAGCCCTGCGTCATATATTCTACGATGTATAGTCTGTTCAGCGTTGGCCGCCCCGATATCTGGCATTTGACCATGGCTTCAGCCTCCCTCTGCCAAGCATTGCCAAATCAGTTCCCAATTCCATGACACACGCTAACGTTGTAACAGCCAAGGAGTTCAGGGAAGTCTCGATGCCGCTTCAAAGGCCGCTCTTGAGAACGAGTTTGGTACCTCTGTCGACGATGATGTCATCAAGCAGATCCTTGAGAAGGGCGAAACTCAGAACGTAGAGGTAAGGTCCTTTCTTGTAAAATAGTCCTCCCTAGTCGCGTGACTAACATCGCCGTACAGTTTCCCGAGCGTCAAGGTCCCAAGAACGACAGCAAGGGCGCTATGATCTCCCACTAGAGGAGACAACTTTCTACACGATGTACCAGACAGCAGGCGTTTCGGGGTCCGCCATATTTTTGGGCATGCAATTGCTAGGAAAGGGCATATGTTGCAGTGAGCGGTACTATCGGTGCGCAACTGAGACTCATCTGAAATGGTTGATGAAGTTGTCACCGGGCAGTTAGTTGGCCTGAGCCACGATCATGCTGTCAGCTGATTGAATCAACTAACGTCGATGCTCTGAGAGATGGGCATTTTATGATAGTGCTTCATGAAAAACAACCAGCCTTGGGAATTGCAATGCATTCATTTCGCGATCTAATCGACACACAAATTGCTTATGACATTGAAATGTCGACTTGTGTAGCGCTTTGTGATATTAAGAAAACAGCTGAGATGATTAGTCGCACTCTTTACTTCAATGACTACTCGCTGGGTCATAAAACTCCTGAAATTGATAGGTCTAAAGATCTAAGTTATATCACATTCATATAAAGTCTCTTTACCATGTCGGATAAAGGTCATAAGCTTTCTTGCCTTTCCTTAACTACGTTGATGCGTGGATAGGTAGTCAGGTCTGTTTAGTAATATCACTAACCATTAAGTTGGCTGCCCTACTGATCACCAAATAAAACCATTCCAATAGCTGCGATTTAGAACATATCAGGCTTTCTTGTCATGTCACATTTCCACAACTTGCTTCAAAGTTAACGGACCTCCGTTTGGTTCTCGCCGGTACTGATACAGCAATGAAAATATTACCTTTCTATTCATTCGTTCTATAATCTTGGATCATATTCCATGTGTTGTGGCTTTCACATGTGGACCCAAGGGATATGTAGCGGAGATATGATCCAAAAGAACGCTATTAAACAATGAGTGTTTCGAAGTATCAGCCAATACCACCGCTTGGCAAAATCCACAAACAGATCCGGTTTCGACATGTTTAGAGGGCCCTTAGTTGTTTCTACTATGTTTTGAATCACCAAGCTGGCTTGCGCTTCCGGCTTGGCTCAATACACTTGTATATAGGTATCCAAGCAAGCAACAACAGAAACATACATGGAACATTTGAAGACATTTTGGTAGTATTAGATCTATATTTCGGGTGCTTTAGCTCCAGGGACTGTGGCAGGCTCTCACCGGGAGTCCTCAGGCCCGTAAAGGCTGCACAACCAGACCAGTTCCTTGTCTCCTGATTGCAAGACGTTCCTCTGGAAACGGCCGTAAACAGTACAACCCTTTCCAATGGTGTCCTCGTCTACCAAAATCTCCATGCTGATCATGCAAATAGAAAATTCAATTGTAAACGCAAACGCAAAGCTAGAAGTGAAATCTGCTTGGTGCAGGATGAGTCGTACACAGGCAGTACTGATGGTTTGATGGTCGTATATCATGAAAAAATTGCCAAACGCCGCAAAGGGGTATATGTGTAACAGTATCTCTTTGTAAAATTCGAGGTTTAGAGATGGCGTTCAATTAAGAAGTCATGCTATAACCCGTTCTGTATTTTGTAGTATTATACATCCATCATGGCAAGCTGCGACTATGCACGCGTAACGCCGCCGCTGCGCCCACGATTAGGAAGAGTCCAGGGTTTTGCGCAGATCATCTAGAAATTCAGTGTTAGTCACAGGTAGATTTCTCAAAGGCTTGTAGTTGCCACTAACCTCGCCTTCGCTATAACCCCAGAAGTAGACGACCATGCCGATGATGTAGTAGATAGCGGCGTTTGTGCCTTGATAGATAAGAGCAGCACTGAGTGCCGTGAGAGGAAGGATGGCAAGTCGGAATTCTAGCGAGCGGTGGAGAGCTGAGCCGGCGACGAAGTTGAGGGGCCACTCGAGAGCCAGCATGGCAATCCCCAAGAGTAAGTTTATTATCTGTAAAGCCGGCACGGGTCTTACTGCACCATCTAGGGTGCGCGTAAGGAAGTCCCAGAAGATCTTGGGCCAAAAGAAGCACTCTATGGCAGCCACAATCTGATCTGTAAGAGGGTGTAAGTAAAGAAACGATGGGTTCGAGCCGTGTTCAACTTACAAGCTGCGGCGCTCAAGATGATGAGACGGGCCCAATGATTCTTGATGAGTTTTCCCATGATGAAAGGATGTTGATTGTCAAGCCCAGATTAAGTTGCCCCGTTAATTGCTTCCAGAAACGCTTCTTTTTCCTTGCGGATAATAACCAGTCTCGTTTTCCCTCGTTGAACTTGTCGTCTAATCGTATAGTACCCAAAACACTGCTGCCAATAGTCCTTTTTTCGGTGTGATATTACAGACCGGCCAGCGGCGTAGTATAAAAGAGCGGACGAGAAGAAAGAAACGAAAGTATTAAAACGAACAGTAACTCTGTCGGGCCAGCAGACAGAAAGAAGCGAATGGTGAGAGAAGAACAACAACAAGCGGGCGAGTGGCGGATGATATCAAGGAAGAGATGAGACCCTTGAAGAATAAGCCAATTCGTTAAGGTCGTCGATCCCGACGGTTGAGGCTGAGCCGAGAGCGAGGTGGATAAGGATAGAGCGGATGCTCGAGGTTTGAGACGTTGGCGTCAGGCGAACGGTTCAAGGACGATTATGAAGCCGATGATGTCGCGGAAGTTGGTTGGCAGATCCACGCACTCGACTGTACTGTCTATAATCGTGGCAAGCACACGCGCGACATTGTATAGAATTGTCGGTATGGTTATCTTTGGGAGAGACGGTGGCGGTATTGTAAGGCTGATTCTGTCTCATCCAAGAGCGGCTTCTTCCTTTCCCGAAGTTATTGTAGTCGCAAGATTGTATGACCAGTCGAGATGATACTCAGGAGTCTTCTGAGACGTTACAAGAGACACAGATTTCAAGACGGACCGGGGATTGGGGGGGGACTCGGGGAGGCTGCAAGTTGCAGTGGAGGGCAGCCTGAGACTTTTAAGAAAAGGCCAAGAAAAGAACCACGACAGGCAAAATGCGCCTCTTTCTTGGTATGAAAGTCTAGGCCAATGCAATGCATTCATGTACAAATCAACCAGGGTCTACATGGACCGTCGGGCCACGAGCCACGCCATTTCTCGGGGCCATCTTTCCCTTTCACGTATTCGCCTCACGATATACTGTAGAAGCGCTTGGGTGACTTGACTCTGAAGACCAGCGGCGGTGCGATGGAAAGTGGAAAGGCGGGGAGAAGAGAGCTAGGGTGTGAAAGTTATGCGATGCAGCGGCTCGTCACACAGACCGGCGTCCATCATCTTGGAGCTAAAGCGGGTGCAAGCAGCTCTGAGATGCCATGATTGGCCGTTACCACGCCTGGTGTGGTCAACATCGATAAACTCATATGTCGCAGTGGTGTGAAGGCTGGTAATTGGTGATGACCTCGGCGGTTAGATGCAGAGCACAAGCCAATGAACGTGCTTAGCGGCCATGGGGGAGAGGAAGGGAAGCGGGTAGAACAGAGATGTGACAGGGATTCAGTGATGTCGCATGAAGCTAAAAGGAAGCCCTGGGCGGCCAGTTAAACAACTCAACTTTGAGAAGAGCCAAGGGAATACGATTACTTCGTCGTTCCCTTAGATGAGCTTCATCTCAACGAGAGACTCTCCCGCCAAGCCCTCGGTCGCCAGCCATCAGTAGCCAATTTCTTGTTTTCACTCGAGTCTTTCTCTCTTGAGACATAGGAGGATACCACATGAGGCAGATGCTGGGACAGCCGACGTTGCGGTGTTTTGACTTGCTGTCGGACCCCTGACCCCTGGGCCCTCTCCCGGCCACCACTTCCCTTTAATCCCTGTTCACTTAAACGCTGTGTGTGGTGTTCTTTTTTTATACCACGATGCTCTGTGCCACTCGTCACGCTCATTGTGGCAACTTGCCCTGTCGAGCAGTTGTTGGGTGAAGAGGATCTGGGGAAGATCTGGTGTTGGTTATCGTCAAAAGCATGTTGGTTGTCATTAAACAACTGATGAGACATTGCGCCCCCATATTAAAGCGCTTCTCGAAACACGATTGCTTCAACTGTTCAGAGAGATCCCGAATCTTTGGATCAAGCGGTTGCGATCCGCTTCCTTAACCTATCCCTCGGGACCGATCAGAGTGCGTCCAACAGCTCTTGCTACCATCCATCATCTGATGTGGATAGTACCACTTTTGCTCTTGTTTTCACTTTTCTTGACCATCATCTTGAGCTAGTGCCGGTTATCACTCTCCTCATACCACCTCACAGAGCTACGACTTGGTCATCTTCCCCTCACCGTATCGACCAAGACCACAAGCTGTGACTTGCCCCCAAACATGCAAGCAAAGGTATCGGCTCGTCCGATAGTGCGTGATAACCGAGCCTGAGGCCTACCATGAGCATACCTTAGTGAGTCCGATTCGTATGTATTGTCGTCGACCTAGCTCGGCGGTTGCAGCATCGCTCTAATTGGTTCAGCTTCCACCACCAAGGTCAGCCGCATCTGCATCACTCGGTTGCCCAGTGGATACTTGCTCTATCACCCACATTACCTAGTAGACTACCCTGTCTCAACAACGGTGAACAAGTCCAGCGACGTAGACATAGAGAACTCGTCTAGCCCGTACATAGCTTATTTTCGCTATAACAACTCCTTTCGAAATAATTGTGAGCGATCGAATATGCACTACATTAAACTTGCATGTGTCATCCCTCATCCCTGTACCTTTACCCATGTGCCTATCATGAAATCAGCGACACCGCCCTGCACTATAGGCTGTGAAACTAGAATACTGGGCGGATGATCGATCTAAACGACGTTCTTTGTAAGATCTTCTTCTGTCCTGAACCATTGTCATGCCATTATACATAACGCACTCTAAGTGTCCAGTAAGCAGACTCGTCGTTGCCGCCCAGTATCTCGGAAACGGGACCAACTATCTGGCGTATCACACCTCGTGTGCCTCTGTTAGTCCTGGCTGCTCGCGGACGTGTGACGGGCCATTAGAGAGAAACGAGACGACCCGTTCACCATCGCTGCCTCCAAGGTACTCGCTGATTGTAGCTCGGCCGCCTGGGCTGGAGTAGAGGTCTGCGAAGCCCCTGAACCCGGAGGTGATTCCGGTCAGAACGTTGACCTGGTCTCTTGAAAGAGGTTTGCCTTCGACGCACCAGCATACTAAGTTCTCATGAGTTGCCTGCTGCTCAGTATTGATAGTGGGTTTCTTCCTAATGCAATCCCGCCTGAGCGATTCAAGGCAGTCGGCAAAATGTTGAGTCGTAGAAATGGGGATCATAGGGATGGGACAACCCGAGCACAACATCCTATAGAGTAAGTCAACGGGGTAATAGGCAAGCCAGTGGTGTGAATTCGTACTCAATTTGCAGCCGAGAAAAGGACTCCATCAGCTTGTGACCATCCAAAAGCAATATCACAGCGATATGCTCTCCCCCGTTCATAAGCGACAGTCTTGTCACTCGCGCCTTCTCCTCAGAAGATTGCAGCTTAGACAACGACGAGACAATTGCTCTGAAGGTAGCCGGTGGGCTGTTGGGAATGGGAACCGGAAATGTGATATCACAAGCCTCCAGGTTACTTTCTAGGGACGCTAGTGTGAGTGTGTGCGTGATGATATCTTGTAGCAAACAGGTCACATCGATAACCAACCTTTCCATGATGACGAGCTTGTTGTTAGCGAATGAACCGCACGAGCCCATTCTCTTCGCTTCCGTAAGGATGAACAGAACATGATCTGTCAAGTTTGAGATGAAAGCCCCAAAGAGTAATGCTTGTTCGGAAGAACGCGCGGGGGCCAGGATGGTTTATCAAGGAAGGACGTGGATGCATTGAGCCGTGATGCCAGTGAATGAAGTCTGGTGGGGATCTCCCAATTCATTATTTTGTGATATAGGAGACATGTTTTATGGTAGGAAAGCGACAGCTGAGTAGTACCTACTGGGTGATTACGGTCTACACACCTGTCTAAGATACCTAGTACCTAAGGTAAGGTAGGCACAATGGACAGCCCGATAATAGGTTGAGCTGGCAAAAATCTCGGCGTTCAAGGCAGGTAACTAACTATCGTATTCAATACCTACCTAAGGTACTTAGGTACAGCAGCCGGCATCTTTCATGTCAAGGCTCCCTTCTTCAAGAGTGAGCTTTATATCACCAATTGATGACACGGAGGCTGTCAATACCTCTGACTTCGCACTGAGAAGCCGAGGTATGGAGAGGCACCTTTTTCTTGTAATTCACAAAGGAAAAGAGGATTTCTCTATCTATGTGCTCGCAAGAAGGAAATCCTGTTGTTAGTGAGCGTCAAGTCTATCAACGCAGTAGTTTCTCTCTGTGTAAATGAAGGAATGAGTTAAGTAACCAATCAGAGCTTACAAGCCTCTCACCCCTGGTCTATCTACTGCCTACCTTACTAAGTACTTACCTAGGTAAGCTTCTTGTATGTCAGCACGGAACATCACGGCTCCGGAAGAGACGGCATCGACTCTCCTCGAAATATCCAATTACCTAGAATGACGTACTTTCTTTTCATATCATCGGTGAGTCTTTGAATCAGATTTGCCCTTGCGCTTCCAAACGAGTCGGTCTCTTCTGTATTGTGCGCTTTATTGACGTGTTATCGGCATTTGAGCTTCAATTGACTCTCCGCCAAAGAAGCCCCACCAGCGATCAAATATCCAGTCTACGAGACAGCTTGGCAAGCAGCTCTCAACACTGGAGCCGAGAGTTCCTAAACCACCACACTCATGGTTCCTCTTCCGCTGTTCAAGCTTGCGTCTCTTCTTGTTAGGCATGTCTCAAAATATGGCGCCGTACGAGATATCCCCTGTCGCAACTGGACCAGGCACTGACAGCTCCTCAGAATCACATCAAGGCTCAGGCACACGATCACCCCCGGTTCCGAGCGTTCGCTGCCCGATATGGACAATACATGCATCAATTGAACATGAGGATGTCAGTCGCATTATTACGGAACCCAGAGGCTGAACGAAGAGCAAAAGAAAAGGCCGAGGCACCAACGGTCAAGACCGAAGAGCAGCAGAAACGAGACGATCAGCTCAAACAGAAGCAGGCTCCCGAACTTCCCAAGAAGAGCTCACCGTTTCAAAACATCTGGAGGCGAAAATTCAGGCCACTTCCCGAGAACAAAGCGGTCGATCTGTTCGCCGATGTCATTGGAGATACGTTCATCCTCTCGGTAGCCATCGCCTTAATTGTCTACGAAACCTGGAAGTCGTCACAAAAGCCCGATATGAACAAATTGCGGATAGAAGAACTGGACCAAAAACTTGAAGAGCTGAAGAAGAGGGAAGACGAGCTAGAAGAGGCAGAAAAGAAACACAAGGAAAGATATGAAAGCTTGGAGGAGATACTGCGCCAGTTGAGGGATCCCAAGACAAATCAATTGCTGGTCCCGGCGCTACAGGTGTCATAACACTCAATCGGCGAACGATCAATTAAATGTGCCCGGTAACCCTGTGCAAGGAGGAAAGCCAACCAGATGGAATCTCGAGCACTTTTCAAATCTCGAAATACAAGGGAGACTTGCCCATGGACAGCTGGAATATTGGACAATGGATAGCTGCTACTTGGTAATTATGCACCCGTGTGTTTCTTATCATATTATAGCCTCTTCTCCACCATATACTTAGATATTCATGACTTACGATGTAAGATAACCATTCATAACAAGAGTACGAAAATTACCTGCCAATCGACTGCTTTATTTCACCAAATCTAGGCCAAATGCTGGCCTTGTCGTTCAAGGATTGAAATTCCTTGATTGGCTAACCAGAGGCACAGACGAGACAGGGTGTTATTTGATTGGATGATTCCACGACCTGCCCCAGCTCTATGGTTGCCAGCGGCAACAGCCTGCTAGGAAAGTACACAAACCACCAGTCGCGGCAACTGATGACTTCTCTCCATCTTTCTTCGCTCAGCGTCGCTCGTCGATTTCTTGCTCTCACAAACACTAACCCATAGCATCGGGCCATAGCATCTCAGTTTTCAGCATTGTTTAACGTCCTTGGCTTCTGCTGCACGAATAGGCGACTTTCTTTCATTCGTCTTGCATGTTGACGTCGCGAGTCTCGTGAGTTCTGCCCACTGGTTCCACTGGATCACCACCTCGTCTATTGTACATAAAGGCATTGGACACGCACTCGGCTCTTTCGTCCCATCTTCACTTCGGTGCCGCTAACCTCTTGTCTTAGTCCGATACTTGCGACACTTCAACGCGGTTGCTGATCTTCAAGCCCGCTCGCCTATTTGGCAACGACCGTCCACAAACACGTTGAACTTTCGCATCGCAATATCTGAGCTTCTCATCATCTATGGCTCATAGGCTAGCGCTCCGAGGCGGCGTCGATCTCGAGGCCTTGTCCCCTAGGGATGCCAACGCCCAGCGAGTACCCAAAATGACCGACATCAAAACAAAGACGGCCGCTCAACTCAAGGCCGCCAAGGAGAAGGAACACCCTCCACCCCCGCCTACAGAAGTCCCTGAGCCTCCAAGTACCGATCGACCTGATGGAGCAACGTATCAGGTCGGTAAACTGCTCGGAAAGGGGGGCTTCGCAGTCTGCTACAGTGGCCAGTTGTTACCCACAAAGCAGCGATTTGCTCTGAAGATTGTCAAGAGCCACATGCCTCCCAAAATGGAACAAAAGGTTTGTGGCAGAAAGAAGTCCCATTGACACACATCTAACATGTTTCAGTTCCAAACCGAGCTCCAGATTCACTCAAAGATGAAGCACAAAAACATCGTTCAATTCTTCAGAGCTTTTTCATACGAAAAATGCACATATCTGATTCTCGAATTGTGTCCGAACGGCTCTCTCATGGATATGGTGAAGCGAAGGAAAGGTCTCACTGAGCCCGAAGTCCGCTTTTACTCGGTTCAGATCGCCGGTGCCATCAAGTACATGCACAACAAGGGCATCATTCACCGTGACCTGAAGATGGGTAACATCTTCCTTGACTCTCGGATGAACGCGAAGATCGGTGATTTTGGTCTTGCCGCTCTGTTGGTGACTGGTCGCGATATGCACACCATCCGTCGCACAACTTTGTGCGGAACACCTAATTACATTGCTCCCGAGATTCTGGAGAAAGGAAAGAAGGGGCATGACCACATGGTCGACATCTGGAGTCTGGGCATTATCATGTACGCCATGTTCACATCGAAGCCACCGTTTCAATCCTCGACCACGGACGAAATTTACCGCCGAGCTCGAGAGAGGGATTATGATTGGCCATCGGCGGAAACATCGCGAAGATACATCAGCCAGGAAGCTAAGGAACTAGTTGCCACGATGCTTCAAGATGCTGAAAACCGACCGGAACCGGAGGAAATTATCCAACACCCCTTTTTCACCTGTGGTTATATGCCTACCGAAGCGGAAATGAGCTCGCGCCTAAGAGAAGTCCCCCCGGACGGTGAGGAATTTTACGCCTCTCGAATCAGCAGTGCTTTGCAAGCACAATCATACAGGAACTTCAAGGACATGTGTCGAGAGTGTGGCATCGGCCCTTATGCCCCAGTTCAAGTCGTTCACACTCAGACATGGAAGGAGATGGCCGCTGAGGAGAAGGCTGGGCTGACACCGATGATCCCTCTCGAAGAAGGAATTGTGTACAGACCATTCGAAGAGTGGCTGAAGGAGCAGCAGCAGATAAAGGCCAGACACACCGCATCTCTGGCTGCACAGGCAAGCGTGTCTACCGAAGACCCTTTGTCAGCTACTCAAAGAGCACCGGCAGGTCTCCTTCGTCAACCTCCTCAGAGTTTTGCTGCACAGCAGAGAATGCAACACAGGCCAGCAGGCACTATGGTTTCTGCAAAACCCCGCCCAGCGCCCGAAGCAACCCTTTCGGCTTCCCAGAGCTTACGTACAAGAACACGAAAGGAACTGCCTCGAGAAGCTCCTCCAAGGGAAACTGTTGAGTCTGTCGGCAAGAGCCTGCGGACTTCAACTCGATCGGCACCTCCGGCAAGGGCAGCGTCTCAGCAACCTGCAGAACGACAGCTTTCCGAGCGACCTTCGCTCGACCGTCAAACATCTGCTCCTGCCACAACAGCCCCTCCTGCGCCAGCTGCACCCCCTAAGAAGGATACTACTGGCATGCGACCTGCAACACTGTTCAGCGCCTCCGAGCGGCAAGATAGAATCTCCGGAACGAAGCCCGACACGGTTTTGGATCGTCTGCATCGTTTTCAGAATGAACTTGAACGAGCTCTAAACTCGAGGACCATGGCTATAATATCATCCAAGA